AGACAGTTCAAATTTATTTATATCTATAGATGCATGGGTAATTATTATAAATTTTCGAAATTGTAAATTACGTATCAATAGGCAATACAATGTCTTCTTCACCCTGTATGTACCGGTAACCACATCGTTTTTATTTATTTCCGGTTAACATAAAAATATTATAGAAGATTAGTTACTTTTAATAATATAATAAACCAGAGTAATAAGTACAAACTGATATCCAGCAACCATTTAGAATTCATTCGAAATTTTCTTTCATTTTAAGTATAAAAATTAATAAATTTCGCGGATGTGTAAATGAAAGTCGCAAAATTTATTGAGTGAAATTCCAAGTATTATAAAATCATTATCAAGTGAAGTACCTACTTAATTGAAAAATGCGTCGTTTTTTTTTTAAAAAATGAGTAATCGTAAATCATGTGATAATTGCTTTTCTAAGAACCTGATGCTGATAAAAATTAATTTAGAAACTGAAAAAAGTACTGTATTTCCTTATCTTTCATTGGTGTTCATCACTAATGTAGTGGCAATTATACTCCACAATAAAAATTAAATGTTCTTGAATAATTAACTTCAATTATTGCAAACCATTGTTATAAACCGTGAGGGGTTATTTCAACTTGTTAGCGTTAGAGGGTAGTAATAAATAATTTATAATATTTAATATATCGAACGAGATAGGATCAAATGGGATTGATAAAAAAGTAGAATGAAGTATACGATGCATTTTCGTCTGAGCGTGTAGATTCCTAGACCGGCTCTGTAATTTTTATTCCATATACATCGCAAGTTATGGCGCATTACCGGTCTTTTAAATGCGGAGTACAATATCGTCAAGAGCCCGCCGGCCCGAAAAAGGTTAAATATGGGTATAATATGGTAAAAAGGCATTGCGAAGAATTCGACCAGAGGCTTCCAATAAACCAGGCGATCTATCAGCACGTCTCGCACGTAATATTAACTCATTTTCGACAAGGGCTTCTGGAAGCCATGTGCTCCAAATCATACGGTAGGATGACACAAAACAAAACCCGCTTTTTTCGGCTTTTGTCTACACAGAACCGTTTTCATCGTAGACCAGATTTCGCGGAATACGCTTATTTAATAAAAATAAAACAATTCGAAGTGGTCTGTATTCTGTCGAAACTGCCAGACGCGGATCGCGATTTCGATCTTTTTGGATCTCATCAGCGCGTCGCAGACGGCACTGACAAAAGACAGACCAACTTTTACCTGTTGTCTTAACAGCGCGTTTTAGAAAATACCCCAAATGGCGCACTAAACGCCATCTGTAGTACGATGCTACATTTTAGGATTACGTATGCTCCAACAAGGTCCATTTGTATGGATATCTACTTGCTGAAACGAATCCCGGCGTAGCTAACCTCAACGTGATAGGCACGTTACCATAATCGAATAAAACAATTCGAAGTGGTCTGTATTCCGTCGAAACTGCCAGACGCGGATCGCGATTTCGATCTTTTTGCTACGCCGGGATTCGTTTTAGCAAGTAGATATCCATATATTTAAATAGACCTGTTGGAGCATACGTAATCTTAAAATGTAGCATCGTACTACAGATGGCGTTTACCGCGCCATTTGTGGTATTTTCTAAAACGCTTATTTAAATTATATGGTTACTTAAAGAACGACTAATAAACATTGTGGTTGTGCAAAATTATAACTTGTCTTTATGATTTCTTGTATTGTAATCATTAAGGGTCATCAAGGTTTATTAATATAAATTGTTTTGACGCGCTTCATTCATCAGCAACCTGAGTGTAATTACAATATAGTACACAGCACGTTGTGGCAATGAATAGAACGATAGTCACGAGAGCATTTTTGTTTTTCAGTCTAATATATATACACAAAACTACCGAAAAAATACTTTTCTGTCTTGATCAAAAAAATTAAACATTTAAAAAAATTGACAGGACTACGAAAAACTTAGACAGGACGAATTCCAAACCGCCTAGAGGCCTTAAGTTTATTAACTGAAATTACAGTATTACTTCAATAGAATTTCACGAAGGCTATTTTCAAGTTAATTTCTACAGTAGTTATAGATTAAATAGTTTCAAAAATTTATTGGCTACAAACTGGTCAAATGAAAAACCATCGTCATCAAGGTGGAGAAAATTTTTAGCAGCAGCATTCTTATTTTGTGTGTGATCAAAACGGTCCCATCGAAATTTGGAATCAGCCAATCTTCTTTTGAAGTCACTTCCACGTTGGACGTATTTAAAAGATTACCTTTCTAAACAATCGTGAACTAACTCCTTCTTTATGGTATTCGTATCTATTTCAAATGGTTTAAGTACCTAATTACATATTTGAAAATGATGGAGTTAGATGATAAACAGATAAACTTCATCAATTCCAATCGATTGATGTTTCTAAAAAATACCAGGACTATACTATTGGTATGACTAAATTTTTGGATATTCTGTCTGGGTTCAATTTTAGAGTTTCATGATCCTTTTGAACGATAAGCATCAGTTGATAAACTGCTGTACAGATTTGTGATTGTTCCCGCAATATAGTGTGTATATATGGGTATACATCACGAATAATAAATTTGGATGCCTGCTACCGGCCATTGTCGAAAACATTGAAGCTCCTTACATTATGATGGGCCCGATGAGTTTTTTTTTTCTTTTGCATGCGACACATAGTCGGTTCACCCTTCAGCTGTCCATCTGCGGAAGTTCGTTAGAATCCCCGTTAATCTGAACCCGCGGTTATCTGCGATCGCATCAGAGATAGACGCAGCCATTGTGGCTGCTTGACAAGATGGCCGCCGCCAGGTGAGGGGTTAAATCACCTCCCTAAATACACAGCGGGATAGCCTGCATGAACAATTTATTTATTACTTACACGACACTCGACGGACCCTACCTATCTACTACGACTACCTACGTCCTCTCTCGACGTGAACATCGGAGGGTAGATATATTATAGGTACGTGTGCATACATGTGTTTTACGCAGATGTTACCAATACATCTACCCTCGTTGTTTCCTTTTTTTTTTTAGTGTGTACTTAATATCAGTGGGACGTTTAAAATTTGACTGGTAAAATTCAACAAATGGATAATTGAGACCTTTCTTTAGGTAGATTCTTACGCTTGGGTTAATCCATGTTTTTGCAAATGACAAAATTAACAATAAAAGTTGTTTTATAATGCGTTTTTAAGAAGGGTGAAGCAGCCATTCTCTAGCCTCTAGCCTGAAGTGTTGTTGTTGTATGTTGATTATATGGCATTAAGGCATTTTAAAATTTAGGCATACGATTACTAACTTGGAAGAACCAGGACTACATTAAAAAGGTTTTAGATGCAATTACCAATATTAAATTCATTCAGTATGATGATGCTTTCATTACAGAAAAATTATCAAATCCTTTTTTTTTCTCAGGAGATACATTTATTGAATACATCCAAATTGTTTGCTTAAAATTGCAACCTAGAGCTAACCACTCAGGTAATAGATTAATTTTATGTTCATCTAAACAGCGGAAATAATAATAATCACGGAAACAGATTTAGGAATCATTAAAAACCAGTCGAAAGTAGGTTAGGGTGGTGAGGCGAGTGACCGGTTTCACTCATTCTAATGGTTTCTCTGCTATTTTCTTAATTTCCTCATAATTAATAAAGTAGACAAATAATGTTATTATTAATCAACCATTTTCTTAAAGATTGTTTCAATCATTTTAACTAATTAATTTTTATGGAGTATTTATTTATTTATTTAAAGATGCCAAGATAAGGAAGTTAATAAATCTAATAAACTTTAAGAATTGTTGCATCATTTAATTAGTTTTCTTCATATTTTGCGTATATAAATTAAAAATGTTCGATCTTCTTATCATCCGATAAAGCATCCTGCGAAAGGTGATTGTATTATGTACTGCACGTGTATGTGCACATACGTAGATAAATAGTTATCATTGAATGATACAAACGTAAGTGATTAAATATAAATATGAAATAGCATCTTGTAATAATATCTAATACTTATACACATTTATAATTAATGTCAGCGGATGCTATATTATTTTTTGTAAGAGTAAAATCGAACTTATGGCTTTAATCGTAAATCATTAATTCGATTTAATGGTTTTAGGTTCTGTTAATGTACCTTCAATTATTCAAGTCCGCACAAGTGCCCGCATTTCAAATACATAAACTGAACATACGTTACTAAATCATTTCACTGATTTAATTAAATTAAAATTATTTCTTGCTTGAAACTGACAGTAATCACGTAGTACATATATTATATAATATTTACTGCATTTGTATTGATATTACGCTAAGGCTAACTGCTTCTTTGCATATCATCATCATCATAAGGTCGTCAGTCCTAAGACTGGTTGGACACGTACCTCCACTCTTTCCTATCCTCAGCTAAACTTCGCATTTCCCTAAAACTAGAACAACCCATATCTTTAACTATTTGCGAACAGTAATCTAACCTAGGTCTACCTCTACCCCTTCTAACTCCTGCTTCTGCTTCTAATATGCCTCTGACTAGACCTTCATGCCTGAGAAGGTGTCCTACCAATCTATCTCGCCTATTTTTTTATGGACTTCCTTAGAGTCTTCTGTTCTCCTATTCTTTCTAATACCTCTTCATTTCTAACCTTTTCTTTTCCGACGCGCCCACTGTCCATGTTTTGCACCCGTACAACGCCGCGCTCCAAACATACACCTTTAACATTTTCTTTGCATATATTATAAATTTAATCTTTTGAAAATGAAGCAAGTACAAGTTTTGAACGGATTTCCACTTTTCAGTAAGGCATTAAAAAGGTTTTGTTATTGACAAATCTTCTATGACTATGACTTCTCATAGATGTATTAATTAAAGAGCCTATTGGAAATTGTCTACTACGTACTAAAAACCCTCTCTGCAAGAATAGTTATACGGTGTTAAGTAGAAGCTCGATATTTATTATTCTTTATGTGATAGTTATTTCCGTTGTTGTTTCAGCGTCAAGGATGTCTTCAGCAGCGAGTCAAGTGTGCCGGCCGCATTTTCACGCGCCGCTCCATCCATGGCTTTCGGCAGAAAGCACGAAGCCCTTGGCGCATTCGAGTCCTTGGGTGCCGTTCGGCGGGGGCGCTGGCGATCCGGAAAAGTCGCAATCGCCCTCGTCGATGGCCGGAGGAGCACAACCGCATAACATTTTCTCATTTCCACCAACGCCACCTAAAGACAGTACGCCTGATTCCGTCGTAGTACCCACCACCCCAGGTGCAGCGGGTTCTTCGGCCGCCGATTACCAAAACGCCGTTGCGGCGGCAATGGGCGCTTTCATGCACGGAGGAGGCGACAACCACCACCATCAGCAGCAGAGCTGTGCACTGGATGTGAAGCCTTCGGCGACGTCCGCAGCGAGCAATAAGCAGCGTGAAGGTAGTGAATATGAAACAACCGGAACTGCCTCGTCGGGCATGTTCAATGGTAACTTTGATAGCTCGTACGGGTCGTCCGCGTATGGCCACGGTATTCACGGGGCGGCGGCGTATTCGCCGCACCATCATGCAGCCGCAGCTGCGGCAGCCGCGGCCGCGGCGGCCGCTGCGGCCGCGCATCAGGGCCACCACGGCAAGCAGAACGGCGGCCTCGTGACGACGCAGGGTGGCGCTCAGTCGCCGAACAAACCACGGAATAAGTCGAGAACGAGCGCCGGTAAGAACAGTAATTATGACGACAAACACTAAAATAAATTCATGCTGAAGGGAGACAACGTTTATAACGTTCATTAACCACCACACTTGGTGATCACAACCTCCAAAATTAGGTCAAAACATTCTAAATTGAAAACGAAATGCAAGTTCTATCTCATTCTACGATATTTCAAACCCAAGGAACGGTCAAAATTTATTCCAATAAAAACATTATCCATAATCTACAGTTATAATGTTTCTAAAATCTACTAATTTCTGGTCACGTTTTGGATGTTGTGGGAAAAGTGTTGGATTAGGCCAACGTTTCGTCGATGTTCTTACTTGTTCACCTTTTGATACATATATCTATTCGGTACTTATAACTATCTTTCTATTGGTCGTCATCGGGGTGTCATAAGAGATTATCCTTCCAGNTTCTGGTCACGTTTTGGATGTTGTGGGAAAAGTGTTGGATTAGGCCAACGTTTCGTCGATGTTCTTACTTGTTCACCTTTTGATACATATATCTATTCGGTACTTATAACTATCTTTCTATTGGTCGTCATCGGGGTGTCATAAGAGATTATCCTTCCAGGTTTTTTTTAACCAAATCACCTCATTTGATGAGTAGAGCAATTTGTCACTCTTTCTATCATCTTTTATTGCTCCTATTTGGATGAAATTTTAAAAAAAAATCCATAAATAAAGAGATCATTAACATATCTGCAAGATTATTTAAAATTGTAAATAGAAACTTGATGAAAATTTAGTAGGTATGCAAAATAATAAGAGACATCCTGATGGCGCATCATAATACTAATCAAAAAACTTCTTTAGTCTAAATCAACATTTGAAATTTAAAACATTGTATATCGGCATATAAACAAAATAGAAAAGGATCCGTTGAAAAGTCGGTATTTATATAGAACGATTTATTGTATAAAGGAATTTGATATCACTAATATTTGCGATGACCTTTTGGTTAATTTTCGCATAAGATTGTTAATTTTTCCCATTTAAAGCATTTTAAGTTGATTTAAGGACAATTTTATTCTAATCAGAATATTCATATGAAGCCGATCTCATCTTCTGATATAATACATATATTACCTTCCAGATATCACCTTAATTTTCAAATGCAATTAAATAATTGTCTAAATAATTTGACTAAATTTTCAATATTAACAACGACGGTCGACGTTAATTACCTTTTAAAATGTGCTTAGTTTCAGGTTTCATTTCATTTAATTTTTTCTTTTTCCATTTTTTTTAAGGCATACGTTAGGGCTGCCACCTCAAAATGCACATAAACAATGTTCAGTATATTATTATAATTATCATTAAATTTAAAATCGTATTTGGTATTTTTTTACAGTTTTCAAGTAAAACTTTTTCGCTCAAACTTAGTAATAAACATAAAATTCGCTACAATTTATGTTATAATATATTCTTACACATACCTCGGCTTTTACTACCGAAGTACTTAAATTATTTCTCTTTTCAGTCCACAAGTTATTCATAATTGAAAAATTTCTCTCAACAAACTTACAGGTATTAGCAATGATTTTCTAACTAACTTCACCAAATCATTTAATTGAAGTGAATCCAATCTCTGACATCTTTTTTTGTCAGTAGGGATATCCATATCAGTTATTTTAATTTTTACAAAAAAATGTTTTTATGGTAATCGGGAGTTGTAAATTAAAATCGGGAAGTTTTACGATTTCGGAAGTTCCCCGATCAAATCGAGAGAGGTGGCAACCCTAGCTACGTACCGATTAATCTATTATAAATTTCCCAAATTATAGAAATCCAAATAATTTTACTAATTAATAACTACGTATGTGTTTTTGACTTTAATTTAATTTATTTTATGGTTTGTTTTTCTTTGCTTTGGGTTCTTCTTTTTATTTTATACTCATCTCTATTAAGCATTGTTTTACTTTACAAACTGTTTCACTTAATTGCTTTACTGTCACACCATCAGCTTCAGGTTGCGATATTAACCATCACTAATTGCGCCAGCACAAAATCGTCTCGTAAATATTGCCTAAAAATATTGTTAATTCGCCCTACCTTCGTAAAATATACAGTACCTACAAGTGAATTATTAATTGTTAAAAGTGACATATACTAGGTGTACGAAATGCAACAGAATAAACTGCGATAAAAAGCTAACTTTAAATAAATTAATTCAGTTGCGTCAGAAATTGTGTGATAATAAATCCTGAAATGATTGACATCGAAGTCTGGACATGTTTATTTTAAAAATGCGTTTTGATGAATATTTAAAAATTAAATATATTTTAAAATACTTTTAAATGTTGTCGAAATATTTTGCTAAGTGACGGAAGACCACTTTTATTTGAATATTTGCTTTCCGAGTTTTCTGATGTGTTCATTCAAACAAAAAGTGCAGGTTTCCAGGTGCTTTACATGTTTCCGGTTTCACACATCTTGCTTATTGCATAAGGAACAATACGAACCTCAATATTCTCCGTAGCAAATCGCAGGAAATCAGCGATATGTTACTTTTTATTACACAAAATTGGAATCATGCGAGATAACTTCACGAATTACACACATCGCTCTTTTTTAAGTATAATCCAAAACGGAAAGACGTGAATGAATTGCCTAATTCTACTATTATGTTTCAAAGCTTTATAAATTACACAATCCTTTTTATAATTAAATGTGTCCTTAAAAAAAGGGTGCGAAACGTTGGCGTGCTTATGAAAAATTGTGTTTTGCTCTCCGTCCCGAGCTGAGTAGCAGACCAAATGAATTCTCTAGACAAAGGCTAAGCGCGTTGCGATACTCTTTATAATATTGAACTGGACCACATGAGGTGGTTCTGCGAATTGCTTCGAAAATCCTCATTTCTTTCTTCTATACTTATTTGTATGCATAAAGCCGCAAATGTAGACATACCAGTGAGCTGCATTTAACGCAATTAACATCAAATTATTAGAAATTTTTTCAATAATACTCAATAAATAATCAAAAGCTGAAAGGTGTCTTCCAACTTTCAAAGTAATCAAGACCTTACTCCGAAATTCGATGTTGGAAAATCGTTTGACAGCTATATCGATGCTTTCCATTGAAAAATTATTTATATTACTTATTTTTCGATAGTTATCGGTTGCTATTATTGTTATCGATATATCGATATCTATCGATATTTTTGCCCAGCACTACTCCCTACTAATAATACGAGGGTGGATTGATAAGTTTCCGGCCTGACCAAGAAAAACAAGGTTTTTAAAAATTTTTTTTTTTTATTTCTCAACATAATCTCCTCCAAGGCTGATACATTTCTCATAGCGGTGTTCCAGTCTATTAATGCCATCTCTATAGACTGATTCGTCAAGCTCCTCAAAATAACCATTTACAGCTTCGATTACTTCTTCATTGTCCGCAAATCTCTTACCGCCAAGCCATTTTTTGAGATTAGGGAACAGAAAATAGTCACTCGGGGCTAGGTCTGGAGAGTAAGGAGGGTGCGGCATCAATTCAAACTTTAGATCGTTGATTTTAGCCGTCGCAACGATTGACGTGTGCGCTGGTGCGTTATCGTGATGAAACAAGATTTTTTTCTTCGCCAGATGAGGTCGTTTAATTTTCACCTCGTGGCTCAAACGTTGCAATAAGTCTGCGTAGTATTGACCAGTGATAGTATTACCCTTTGCAAGGTAATCAATGTATATAATACCTCTTGCATCCCAAAAAACAGTAGCCATAACCTTGTTCGCCGAAAAAATTGTTTTTGCCTTCTTTGGAGTTGGTTCCCCTGGTCCAATCCACTGTTTAGACTGTTCTTTGGTTTCAGGAGTGTAGTGGTGGACCCACGTTTCGTCAACGGTTACGAATCGACGCAAAAATTCGCTTGGATTACGCTTATACAATGACAAATTTGCGGTAGAAATGTTTTTTCGAATCAATTTTTGGTCGACTGTTAGCAAACGCGGCACCCATCTTGCACAGAGCTTTTCCATATGCAAATGTTGGTGCAAAATATGTTGCACACGTTCATATGACATCTTACAGGTCTCAGCTATCTCACGCACTTTCAATCTGCGGTCTCCCAGCACTATTTGATGAATTTTTTCGATCATATCTGGAGTTGTGACCTCAACGGGGCGTCCTGAGCGAGGCCCATCAGAGGTGCTCACACGACCCTTTTTAAACTCGGAAACCCACTGCTTAACGGTTGAATATGACGGGGAGGATGTCCCCAGTGTTGAGTCCATCTCTTTTTTAATTTCCTTCGGCGTTAACCCCTTCAAATAAAAGTATTTGATGACAGCACGATTTTCCTGCTTTTCCATTTTTACGAAAACCACAGAGGCGTCTTGTTCAGCGTGCTGTCAAACCTACACTAGCAAGGAGATCGGGCTGAAACTATAGCTACAAGCTATCCAAGGATGGTACTATAGAATGTCACCTCAAGGTAGGCCTAGTGGCGTCATCTCTTGGTTAGGCCGGAAACATATCAATCCACCCTCGTAAAAGACAATTGGATTTTCTCAAAGTTACCTGCTTCCAAAGGATACAAAAGATTATTATAGAAAATAATGTAATGTACAATTCGAATGGACTTATTTAAATGTTTTGGAATACAAAAAGAATAGATCCTAAGAATAAGAAGTTGACACAATGGTTTAATATTTATTCATGACGGAAAAAAGCCATTTCAAGGATTGAGAACGCCGAATTAGAGCAATGGCAAAACGCAGTGGGTATCCGTGTTCTCTTTCATTCGCTCCCGCTGATTTTGCATAATAATAATGGTAATAATAATAATACTACGGTGACCTGATTAGGTCAGCTGCTCCGGGAGATGATGATCACGACGCTGCGCTGGTACAACATGAGAATGAGAAGGATTATAAAGTAGGTGCTTGTGAGTTGGCTGCTTTGTTTCCAATTTCAGTTTTAGTTCGTTGTACGTACTTCGCAAGTAGAATGCGGGCTGGAAGACAATAGTTTCCAAGTTGCGCCATCGCTAATTGGACCCGAACT